CAATCTTACTCTCGACCCTTTCCTAACCCGCATGATAATGAACAGAACTCAGAAGGAGGAGACCAGATTTCATCTAAGGCTTTCCAGATATAACACTAGCTTGGGCAAGTCAAGTCAAAATCTGTCCATCCAGTAGAAAGAGAACCTCACTAACTCCACAGATTTATAGCAAGATAAAAAAAGTGCAAGATCCTAGCAAGCAACATAAGTTATAAACAGTAAGTTTTAAATTATCCTTCCCCTCTGGAGTAATATATGCAATTTAAAAGGGCATCCTTACTGAAAAGAGGAGGGAAAAAGTACCCTCAAAGGCTACCTGATCTCCAGGTCTACTTTTGCAATAAAATGCCACCCAGAGGCAAAGAGAGCACTCTTTGCACAGGACTCAGAACTAACCGAAAATCCCGCTTCTCCCAAGGTAAAAAGGTATTATGAAAGGGTAAGTACCTTGCTTGTTTCTCATTTAATCTAACACCTTACAAAGAAGACTGCCTTGGAAAAGTAAACCATCTTGCCCAAGGTCATACCGGGAATGTAGCCTACACACAAAAGCCTAAATAAATATTCTTCCTACTAAATAAACCAGAAATACAGGCCCCGAACCATTCACCTTCAAGCCTACTTCTCAAGGTTCACCCATGGCGAAAACCCCAAGATACAAAATTCATGTATTTTCTGATGTCTTTAGAGAAGAAAAATAAGCCTAGGGATCTTTCCCACCCCACTCCACCCTTAAGCCCATGGGGGAAGGACCATAAATGCACAAATATGGAGGCACAGTGGTTAAGAGTGTGTATACAGGCAGATCCGGAATACCTATTCTACCACTTACTCATCTGTTCCATCACAGCCAGATACGCCCTTTCTTCATCAACAAAATGGTAGTAACTCCGGGCAAGTGTAAGGTCAAATGAGAACCTCCTGAGTTGCTTGCACTAAGTAAACACTAAAATAGCTGTAATGGTACATCATCCTCAAAACCCATTCAAGTCTTGGATGTTCTAATTTAAGGAGTTTACTTTGTAGCTCTCCTAAGGTACACCATTACTTCTACCCTTATTATAGTCATCTGGGGATCTGTGATCCTCAACTCTTTCTAAAGGTTCTCTGCACCCACTGTACTATATATTTTCACATAACAGACCTCTGAACTCTCTGTTCAACTTAGAATACATCTAACACCAGGTTCTTTGCCAGGTTCTAGTAAAGGCAGAAACTTTAAGACCAGGCCCTGCCCTAAGGTAGCCCCATGTTGGAAAGGACAGCCAAAGAAGCAAATCTAAAGAGAAAGAGCAGATTAACAGCTCAAGGAAGGCTTCAGAAGGGAGAACGAAAGCTTCGTTAGGGAAGAAGCATTTGATCAGTCTTAAAGTATGAGCAGGCAGAGTATGAGCATGTCTCACACATGAGACAGTATAGCTAAGATATCTGGCCCACGGTGAAGATCCAATCAGAAGGGCCTTTCAGTGCTGGGTTCTGACTTCAACTTATTTCTCCATCAACAAAAGTCATTTTTCAGTCAAGTGACGAGACAGAAAGGACTGCTCCAGTGGCCTCAGGAAACACGGACTGGCAACTGGGTCATCTCAGGGCCAGGAAGCAAGAGCAGGAAGCTATTCCAAGAGCCCAGGGTTTATCTTCTCCAAAGAGCCTTCCCTTAACGTACAGCCAGTCTGCACTGTAAAATGTCCCTTTCTGCCCTTAGAACATCATACACAAACCATGCTCAGGACATTAAATTTTCCAAGTATGTGTTGGCCTCAGTAAAAAAGGAAGCACTCTTCATTTATATATTCCCAGAGACAGCACAGAATCTGCCATGTACGCATCTGGATGGCTCCATGAGGAAAAGCCAGGTATTTGCTGACGGGGCGGGAAGGGGAGTCCGCGTAAAGCCCTGTGTGAGAGCCCTGCCTGCAGGGGTGGCGTGGTGGACAGGAGAGAACACGCGCGCCCGGCAGACCGGAAGTGGGCGAAACTGCAAGCAAGGAGCCTGCAGAAGGTGGCGAGAGCTCGAAACCGCGGGAGTGAAATCTAAGTCAGTCAAGAACCTGAGGAAACGGCAGAGGCTGAAGGAGCAGACAAAAAAAAGACCAAAGAAAAGAAAAACTCCAGATGAGAAGGCATGCCTAAGCCACATCATCAGAAAGGGAGACTGAGAACCACCAAAATGGTCCAGGATTTTAGGTCCATCTGAAATCTTCTGTTACATTAAAAATGAGGCGGCAGGTCCTAGCTGCACGTGCAGCACAAGCCTGTGTTTCCCGGACTTCTTGGTGAGTTTAAGATCCAGATGACTAGATGCCATGGTACTCAGAAAAAAAGCAACCTATGCTGCAGACAAGAGCCAGAACAAAGCACAGGACTGATTATGTTCTGTAAGCTTCAGTAACCAGCAGATCTGACTGAAATTGCTTGCTAACCATCTGATGGATGTATAACTGAAATTGGGTTCGGTCTGAGGCAGATGAGGTACTAATCAGAGGATCTTACTATCACACACAGTGTAAGAAATAAATGTACTGTAAGTACCTTACATCTTTGCCATTTTTCTTCAAATAAAAATGTGTATTTTAGATAGATTTAGGGTGCTTCGTACAGGTGTTTAGGAACTGATAAAGAAAAACTATGGTGGGGGGGAACCGTCCTGTCTTATAAAAAGGGATAGAATGGTGTGAACCCCCTACACTCATGTTTGCGGTTTATAAACTTAAGAAGTTTGCTTCAATACACAGTGCTTCTCCTATGCACCCCTCCCCCACCACCCCATACCCTAAAACTTCATAAATTTAGACTCTCCTTCCAATGCAGATTCCTAAGAACTTCAATTTGACTTCAATTACATTTCACAGATCTGGTTAAGCAAATTATATGCAAAACTAAATTCTGACAAGTATGTGCCCTAATTGAGATGTCTCCAAATATGTTTTAAACGATCATCTAAACAGCTTTCACTTCAATTTATAGACTATCCAATAAATCAGATCACTAGGACAGCTGGTTACAAAGTTGGTCATTAATCTGCCTTACAACTTAGTTAACAATGCCCTATTACTAGAAATCATTCCAGTCATTGTAAACACTCAAACCAGACTAGCATTCTCAACACATCGATGTCCTCTACAAACCACTATAGGACAAAACACGATGCAATTTATGTTTCTGTACACTCTTTCAAGAGGCCATATTACTAGACTGTTTTAAGACACAAACTCAGGGTATGAACCTTAGGAGTAAGAGTAAAGAGTACACTGAGTCTCCACTATATTCTGGACTTGTGCTAATGGGTAACTTTATTGAAGGGAAAGATTATTTTTCTACATAGCTTTATAATTATGAACTTTCTCAAACCTCACAATTTAAACTTAAGTCAAAATTATAAATAATCTCTTCTTAAAACTACACTGTTACTAAAACTCCAACAGAAGTTCAGGAAAATAATAAACCACAAGTTGAACAGTCTAAACAGGGGTTAGGGGGAAGCTGGCCCTTTTTACAAGGTATACAACTGCACTAAGATTTCGTAACAAGAGTGGCATCTGTGTGTCTTAAAACTATCTTCTTAAGTATAGTAGAACAGAGAAAAAGGAAATCTTAACGAGACAGGTATGGAATGAATCTTAAATTGCACTTGACAATAAAGAAAATCAGAATGCTTAGAGAGACAACCGCATACGGCCCTACCATGCGCAGACAGGACAGTCACCTGACACTACACACGCTTCCAATCATTTGTTCCAAACTTAATGGTAAAAGATGTGAACTCTGTAACAAAGACCAGATGGACCTCTTTTTTGCCTGAGTTTCAGAGGTTCTGATGCATGACTATTCCACTACATGAGACAGTGGCAGTCCTAAGTACTGCATCCATACATCAGGGACTTTCTCTTGCAACAGATGTATTTTTAACTTATCAAACTATCAAAAGGGAAAAACACTGTTTCCAACCCCAGGTTCTGATGAGGGTTGTAGGTAAAGAATCAAGGTCCGCTGAAGAGAACAAGAACATAAGCATTAAAGCTTCAAGGATATAGATGTCCTCTGCATATATATTCCACCCTTTTTACTACAAGGTTACTTGGTTTTTTAGATGGCCTATACTGTGGCCCAGAAATGTTGACTTCTAACAGGACTCCTGACCTAATTCACTAATTGCTTCTCTCTGCTCAATCACCTGCACCATTCAAGTTTTCTTTTCTGTATCTACTAAGTCTCATTACTTTGTTGTTCTTTTATTTTCACAGCAGTATTAAATGTCCTGTAAGTACCTCTCCCAGTTCTATCTGGAAATCTGTATTAGAGAGGAACAAACAACAGACTTGTTGACTGCATATCCCAGGCTTCTCCAGTAATACTTAAACCCCTTGGCCAAGAATGCCGCCTTCTGGCAGGTCTGGCCTGGGGAGATAGTGATGGACTGTCCTGACAGTCCTGACTATCAAATCAAGGACCTAAGGGACAAGAGACATAAGGAAAATCAATCATTCTTACATTTGTCCATTCCCACCTGGGTCATCAACTCTCACCTTTGACAGGCACGCTCAGTAACTTACAGGGCCAAAGGGAGTCCCCAGGAGAACAGCCCAACAATTTCCTGCCTCACTTGCCTGCTGCTAACCAGGTTCTCCAGGCAATTGGAAATATAACAGAATTCCGAAGACACAAGAACTTCCTGTTTGACTCAGAATAATAGGAAAACATGTACAATAAGAAGTATAAAGTAATAAATTCTAATCAACGTTGCAAGATTCTGTTACTGTGACACTGATAAGCTCAAACTAACTTTCTAAAAACATTTTTTAGGATAGGCTAGCTAACATTCAAAAATGGCCCAGGTAAGTTCTTAGCTTACATTCTGCGTAAACATTTCTGGAGCATTTAGTTACTAATAAGAGACAAAACACAAGACAATATATCTGGACCTAAACCTAAATGCATAAAGGGGTCCACAGGCACACTCTTAACCACTTTTCCAAAGAAATATGTTTAAACGGCTTTACCATGCAGAGCTATGGCTTCCCGGAAGGGTTGCAAATCAGTCTCTACAGATGAGCTAGTTTCCGTTGAAGTAGCTCGGTTAGGGGACACTACAGTCAGTCTTGGGGGAGCTCTAGAGTTTCGTGGTGGAGGAACTTTCCCACACAGGAAGCTGATCAAATCTTCTCTACGAATAGTTCTTCTGCGCTTTTTAACCCAAGCCAACACATCCTTATTGCGTCGTTGATAGCCAATCTGAATTCCAATATCAAAACTTCGCTGATGAGTATCCACGCTTTCTGTTAGGAAAAAAGAACAAGAAAAAGATACATCATGATCAGCAGAGCCATGCAGCATTCTCTCCTAAGAGAAAACCATTTCAGGAGCTAACCAAAATGAGCATCATGAAGATTGGGGTTCTGGAGATCTATCAGTAATTTAGTCAACTGAATGGTATTTCATCCATGTTTCAAGTGTTATACGTGGCATTAAATCTTCACGGTCTAAATTCAGAGCTAACATCACACAGTCCTAGAGCTTCTGCCTTGTTCCTTAAAAAAATAATAGTTTTATTCATTACTTTAAAAAAATTATTTTAATGTTTATTTTCGAGACAGAGCATGGGTGGGGAAGTGGCAAAGAGAGACAGAGACACAGACTCCGAAGCAGCTCCAGGCTCTGAGCTGTCAGCACAGAGCCCAACGCGGCACTGGAAGGCACTGGAACTTACAAACTCAGAGATCATGACCTAAGCTGAAGTCAGACGCTTAACTGACTTAGCCACCCAGGCGCTCTGATGGATACG